CGGCGAAGCACCGCCGCCCCCTTGCCTTCTTGGAAGCGCCGCTGTGGCCGAACGTTGGGGCCAGAGTTCGGCCAAGCTATCAGACTCTACGTTCATCCAGCTGTCGTGGAAACCCTACACTGGGGGGAGCAAATCAATGAGCTTGGCCTCTTCGGGCCTTCCTGGGGCGGTATTGGACCATTGGATGACCGAAAAGGAGGACGAGCCCCAAACCTCCAACCACATGAGTCACATGAGAAATCAATGAGTTTGGATCCCTCTGGCCTTCCTATAGATGTCGACGTCGAGGCCTTTTGGGATGTCGTGGAGGCATCTTTGGGGCGTGTTGGGTCATCTTCAGGCCATCGTATGTCGACGTGGGTGCATCTTGGGCAGTTTTGTAGACATCTTGCGGCCATCTTGGGCTCTCTTGGGCGCATTTGGACCGTCTTGGAGGCCATCTTGGCTGCCTTGGATGTCTCTTGCGCCCTCTTGGCGCCGTCTTGGGGAGGTTGGGGCCGTCGCGGGGCCATTGCAAAACCTGCGTGGGAATATTTGGGCGATCGCGGGGGTCTAGTCGTTACCTTTGCTCCCTCCGCCTCTCTTTAGAGCCTACGCCTGCGTGCAGCTGCACGCGTTTGGCTCAAGACAAGTGTGAGGATAGGAAGCAGTTGGCGGTTCAGCTGGGGAAAGGTACACGCGCCTTTCTTTTAGCGCGCGCGCGAATCACTACCAACTCTCATGTCTACTTAACGGAACAATGCAGCTATGTCGGGCGACACCGTTAAGAGTTCGTCCGTCTACAAGATCCACGCGAAGGGACGCCAGGATTAGGACATCAGAGGAAGGGAGGAGATGTTCCTTCGCCATGGTATGTCGATTATTTGGCGGGAGACAGATTACCAGCCGAAAGCATGATGGGTAAAGAACTTGACGCAGTTAGAATCAGAGTAACGGTTGTGAGAGTGCGAAGTTAGACGAGTCGCCGGCGATCTCGCCAAAAGAATGTGAAACGAGGTTGTGGAAGTATATACCATGTCCATTCCCCCCGGAAAGAAGGACCAAGGACTCGGGGATGCTCAGAATTGGAGGGGGGTCCCTTCGGCAATCAGAACACGTATCGGAGGTATCCACCATTTCCCGATCAATGTTGGGGGGGCCAAGCAAGAATCGTGCTAGACCAGAGCTGGGAGTCGCTAGCGCGAAAGATGGAGCCTTGTCGGCAGCAGGAGGCATGAAGACCCCCTCTGGAGCGCATGACATTGGAGATGGGACGGACATCTACGTTGCCGATGGTGCTGGGATCAAGGATGCAGTCTCCAGAGTCGTCGAGGATGGTTCCGATGATCCTGCGGCTGGGCCAGCGGGTCACGGTGCCCCTGGCGCAGGTCTCGTCGGTTCTGCCACAGGAGGCTATGATGATGCGCATAAGGTCCCAGTACCATCTGACACGCCCGAGCCGCTGGCTACGGCCCAGAGCCGACAAGAAATCACCCCCGACTTAGTCGAGGGCGTCATGCCTCATTTTCCTAAGCGTGAGGAAAACATTCCAAGCGCGGGCGCGGGAGAGATCAGTTCAAGGTCGGTATCTGACCGTTCAAGAAGGATGATAAGTAAAGCCCAAGCAAAGCTTTTAGAGAGAGAGAGAGGGAGAGAGAGAGAGAGAAAGAGAGAGAGAGAGAGAGAAAGAGAAAGAGAGAGAGAGAGAGGGAGAGAGAGAGAGAGAGAGACAAAAAACAGGTCGAGGAGTGACAGATGTTCGTCGCTGCGGGGACAGGCCAGGAGGATGGCCTCCGTTGCCGGGCCCTGTACGGTTACCGTAAACCGAATGTCCGTTGTAGATTGATGTAGGGACCCTACAGTCAATTGCCTCGACTAGGCTGGACACCGCTGCCATGCAAGCAAGGTGAGTGTAGGCGGCTGGTTTGGAACAATTGTTCGGGGACCTGGAAGCAGTGCAACACCTCTTTCCTTGCCATGTGTCGACTGCATCGACCACACATGGCCGAGTTGTTACACCATGAGACAAGCACGGTGGGAAGCTACTCAACAACAGGAGGCAGCCATCGCCTAGGGATCAGATGCAGGAGCATCTTGAAGGACAGAGACGCCAGATGAAGTCTTATCATAGCGATCTGGCTGAAGAAAGCCAGGTGAGGGCTGAACTGAAGGCTTCCAAACATCGAGCGAAGGTCGCAGAAGCTCACGAGGTGGAAGCCCGCATGGGCGCAGAACGCCGCCTAAGGGACTTAAAGAACGATGCGCTGGCAATTAAAATGAAGCAAGCTGAGGAGGCGACTGGAGCGGTCGAGACGGTGGTCGCTGGGAGTCGCGAGGCAGACATGGCCGAGGCACAGGAGACGCACGGGATGAAATTCAGGGCTGAGCTCGCAGTCAAAACCCAGGACGAATTTCCTCGCAATGAGGGTGGATCAAGAAGAGAAGGCCAGGGCAGAGAAAGAGAGAGAGAGAGAGAGAAAGTGAGAGCGAGAGACAAAAACAAAACAAATGCTTTCCTGAGGGCCCAGCTACCCCAAGCTCAGAGTGCCAGTCACGCAAAACAGGCTACCATGGTGCAGCCAGCCAGCACACGGAACGCCTCTATGAGCGGAGGTATTGTGATTGGCGCGACACCAGGCCATCCGGTTGAGTGCCACTTGTGCTACTATATAGAGTACGTTTATTGCGCGGAGTGTTCGCAGTGCAACGCGGGAGTTAGTAGGTGTGCGCCGTGTGCTAATAAGAGGGTCGCGGAAGAAAACAGGGCAGAACGCAGAACCCAGAAGGAAGCAGAGTTCCGTCGCAAGAATGCGAGGGCGAACGAAAAGCATCGAGAGTCCGAGCAGGAGGCGCGAATTGCTGTCGAAATGGGATAGCGCAATGACTTTGAGATGGACGCTCGACTTGACGAGCTGGCGACAAGCTTCAGTTGATAGAAATGCAAGAGCGTTTACTGGTGGATGCTGCTCTCAGATGGCAGGCGAGGGCCTAGCGGAACCGCGAGGAGGCCGCTGCACGTCTTAAGAAGCGAGAAGAAGAGAGAGCCAACCGTAGGGCCGAGTCCAGACTCGAGTTAATTTGGGCAGATGTTTGAGGGCTCTCGAGGCCAGAACCGAGGCCGCCGAAGCGCAGGCCGCCATTGAACCCTGTCCGGACGATACAATATCCGAAGACGACGGGAAGGACGACGCGTTGTTCGATTTCTTGAAAGCGGACGAGAGGCTCCCGTCTGGGGGGACTTTGGGCCAGGGGCATGTCTAGCAACACCCGACGAGGATTGGAATAACAGAAGGGGAGCCTTGGTTCGATTGGCCCAGGAGGCCCTTCAGGAGGGCCCGGAGGTCCTCCCAGAGGTGGAGGATCTGGCGGGGGAGGGCCTGGCGCCCGGAGGCTCTGGCGAGGGCCCCGGTCCGGAAGGACGCGAGGAGCGGGAAACGAGGGAGCACGACAACGGCAGCAGCAGCAGCAGAAGGATAAAGAGGAGCAGGATCCAGGTATCCCAGATGGGATCGGAGCAGATGGGGTCGGAGTAGATGGGGTCGGAGGAGGATTGTGCCGCATCGCCGAGGCATCGGCGATGCACCGACGATGCGCCTCGATGTGGGGCCCGATTTTCGTCAGTCCGACGTCGCCGATGCATCGCCGACGTCGCCAGCGCATGGCCGATGTATCGGCGATGCATCGCCGATGTATCGGCGATGCTGCGAGATCCTCCGACCCCATCTACTCGGACCCCATCTATGAGTCTAGGAGGCATCCAGGAGGAAGCACGGTTGGAGATGACGGGGAGGCGGAATTTGTGGAGAGGAAGGGCGGTGGAGTCGGGGGAGAGAGATCGAGGAGGACCTGGAGGATAAGTTCAGGCGGAGGAGGAGGAGAAGGAGAGCAGGGGGTAAGGGAGGTGGTCGAGGCGCAGGTGGGGAACGAGGACAGGAAGGTGGAGGCAGCAGGGCTTGGGAGGAGGAGGCGGATTCCCTCGAAGACCCTGAGGGCCTTCCCCAGACACCCGACGTCATGACCTCCGTCACAGCGTGGACCCCCAGACATCTCCACCCTTGTGCGGCCTACTGCAGCCAATCCCGCTTAATGTGTCTTGGTCTGAGCTTATCCAGCCGAGTGGCCTTTCGATAGAGCCTAATCGCCCTTAGCCGTTCTTGCGAAGACATCCAAGGCCCACATAAGATGCGTTGGTTTTTTCAATACGGGGTTCCTGGAAGTCCCGACACTTCACCCGTTTACCGGCTATTTCATCCTGAGTCGTTTTTCAATTGTCCTGGAGCCCGTCAAGATCCGGAGGCCGAGAAATGCCGAGATTTTCCCGCCGTGATATTCCTGCCACCACTCGAGAGGGTCTGGGTCGAGGCCCTTCGGAGGCTCTTCGGAGGGCGGCAGAGCGTCGGCTGCGACGGCGCGCCGCACCGCGGAGAGGGTCAATCGTGGGCGACTTCTCGCCCCAAACCCTCGACGCTTCCGGAAAATCGGGCCGCTCACAGGCAGGAGGAGAGCTCGGAGATACACCCCAGGGGGACATTCGGACGCACCCCTCGTCGAGCATGGGCGCCCCCCTCTTGCTCATCCCCGGGTCGGGTCCCACACTGCTGGTCCGTTCTTGGTCAACATCTCCGGCGTCTCGGTCTTGGTCGAGGCATGGGCCCCCGATCTCTCGGCCACTTACTTCCCTGGGACCGGTTTCTCACCCCGAGTCGTTTTGTTGACGGTCCCGGAGCGTGGTGAGGACCCCGACACGCCGAAGACGGTGGCAAATTTCCGTGCAGTCGAGGTCCATACCAAGAACCATTTTGCTTGCCTCCAGGGCGCCTGGGCATCTTGGCTGTCGATGGTTCTGCGGTGGGAGGCGTGACGCTCCCACACCCCAAAACCATGGACGTCCTGGGGTCTCAGGGTTGGGTTTCTTGTGGAAGGCTTCTCGTGGACTGGCCTCCACCGTACCGATCTTTTCGAGATGCCAGATGCCCGGGGAGTCGGCGGCGACGGCGTGCCCCGCCGCTCGCGAGAGGAGGCGCCGAGCGCCGCGCCGCTGCCCGGCCAGCCGGCCCGCGGCGGCCACGGCGCGCCCGACGAAGACGAGGAGCCCGCCGCGCGGCGGAGGGCGGCCCCTCGGCAGCGGAGTGGCCTCTGGCGCGGGCCCTCGCCGTGGGTCGAAGAGGAGAGAACGCCATGAGCAGAAGCTCTTGGCGCTCCGCGCGGGCTTCCTGGTCCCCATTAGAAACACAAGAACTTTTGGCGCTCCGCGCGGGTTTCCTGGTCTTGGATCCGCGCTGGGCCCCCCCGGCGGCGCGCGCCTCCAGCGCCGCCCCTGTCGCGCTCCGCGCGCCAGGGAGGGGGTCCAGCGCAGATCCAAGAACTCCGCGCGGAGCGCCAAATGTGTTTCCTGTTTCTAATGGGGGGAAACGGCTCCTGAGGTTTTCCGCCGTTTTGGGCTTCCCCGGGGACCTCCGCTGTAGGCCTCCCAGAGGGGGTCGGAGCAGACGGCATCGAAGGATCGCGCCGCATCGCCGATGCATCGCCGATTCGTCGGTAATATATGTATTTCCCAACCATCCTGTGGTGTTGGGTCCTCGTTTTGAAGGGACAGCACCCCGCGTCCCTCACTCCTCCTCGCCCTCCCCCTCCACCGCCTGCATGCGTCACGCACAGCCAGTTCGGCACACCCCTCACACGTTCTGTGGCCCCATAGGGAGCTCCACCGAAGGCCCCAGTGCCACCGCCCGCATGCGTCACCCACACCCATTTCGGCACGCCCGTCACACGTTTCGTGGCCCTATAGGGAGCCCCACCGAAGGCCTCAGTGCCACCGCCCACATGCGCCACCCACACTCATGTCGGCACACCCCTCACACGTTTCGTGGCCCCATAGGGAGCTCCACCGAAGGCCTCAGTGCCGCCGCCCGCATGCGTCACCCACACCCATTTCGGAACTCCCCTCACACGTTTCGTGGCCCCATAGGTAGCTCCACCGAAGGCCACAGTGCCACCGCCCGCAAGCGTCACCCACACCCATTTCGGCACACTCCTCACACGCTTCGTGGCCCCATAGGGAGCTCTACCGAAGACCCCAGTGCCACTGCCCGCATGCCGCTTGCGTCACCCACACTCATTCGGGCACACCCCTCACACGTTTCGTGGCCCCATAGGGAGAACCAGAGGCCCCAGTGCCACCGCCCGCAAGCGTCACCCACACCCAGTCACACACCTCATGCATTTCGTGGCCCCATAGCGAGCTCAAACGAAGGCCCCGGTGCCACCGCCCGCATGCGTCACCCACACCCATTTCGGCACACCCCTCACGCTTTCGTGGCACCATAGCACCATGGGGAGCTCCACCGCAAGCGCCAGTACACCGACGGCCCAAGTGGCTGCTTCCGCATGCGCCCACTGGACAAATTTTGGCACACCCCTTGCACGTTTCGTGGCACTATAAGGAGCTCCTCCGAATGCGGTGCATACAACGATGGTACTCACAACTGCATATGGTTGGGTCCTTCGCCAGGCTAATTCTTCACATGTTCGAACCAAGACAGATACGACAGCGAAGTTATTCGCGCTTCCCAGTTCGGCTCCAATTCCTCCTCATCCTCCTTTTGTCCCCTGGGAGGCGCCCTCGAGGGCGCGAAGTTGTTCGCACTCCGGGCTTCGCACATCGCGAATCGCGAGGTTGGGTCGTCCTGGATGGCAAAAGCGGGCCCCAGGTCGGGTCCTTCGTCGTTGTCGGAAGGCTTGGCGGTTCTTCAACAGTAGCACGATGACGGGTTCCCCACGGCGGCGTGTCACTGATATTGTGTGTTTGCTCCCCGACTGCCAGAGACCCTGGCCCAGGGTCGCCCCAGGCTGCCCAGGAAGGCCCCCGCGGCCTCCGGAGCGCCCCCCACGAGGGCCCGGGGGGGCCCCAGGGGCTCCAGGTCGAGCGGGGGGCCCCAGGGGCTCCAGGTCCCTCGTGCCAGGGACGTCTTCCGCAGCCTCCGACCCGGGGAGTGGTTGAGATCCATTGGGGGGGGGCCCTCCCCCTCCTCCTCCTCCTCCTCCTCCTCCTCCTCCCCCTCCTCCTCCTCCTCTTCCTCCTCCTCTTCCTCCTCGTCGCAGAACAGATGCAGCGTCGGAGGAGTGGGCACGGGGGTCGCCTCTCAGCGCTGGCCCGCGCACGTGGGTGCGGCGGCCCCGCGGGGCCGCGCGCCAGAGGCCACGCCCTGCCTGGGGCTATACTCTCTCTGCGCGCGGCCGAAGGAGGCGCGGGCGAGGCCCCTGCTGCGGAGGAGCCCCGCGGGCCTGCGCGAGCCCGGGACGAGCTGGTCCGCCCCTGTGTGCCAGTCGGGACGAGGGAGCGAGCACGACGCCGCCGATCGCGAGCGTTCTGTTTCAAGGGTTTGGGACCCAGGCCTCCAGCATATTGAACGAATCAGCTCGGAGGTTTTCGCAGCGTTCGGCATTCCCAGAACCTCCGCGGAGCCCTGGGACCGTCGAAAAACAACTCGAGATGAGAAACCGGCCCAGGGGGAAGGAAGGGTGGGGACTTCAGGGATTGCGCATGGAACAGAGTCAACGCATCGGATCTCTGGGGACATTTCCGTTCTTCGTTGGAGACTCCTCGTCGCCTCAGCTGTATCCCCCTCGGCGTGCCAAAGCACACCCCAGAGGAGGGTCCAGGGGCGTCTGCGGGGCTGCTCCGGAGGAGCCCGCTGGGCACTGCGCGAGCTGGGGGCGAGCTGGTGCGCCCGCCCCCCTTTGGCTGGCGCTCCCAGGCCCCTCGCGCCGTGCAAAAGCCTGAGGCCCCACGTTGCAAAGAGAGAGTGCATTATGCGTTTGGTCGTTCGCAGGCTATGTCGCGCGACATATCGGCTCAGCAGGGGAGAGACGTGCTTGCCGCGAAGGAGGAGCGGCGATCAGAGATTACACCTCAGCATCTGGAGCTCAAGTTTTTTCACTCAAACACATGATGCGCGTTATGTGGCCTCCAACCCACCCACCCACCCAGTACATGACAGAACGGCCGCCGCCCCACCCATCCTCGTCGCAGCAATGCCTGATGTGTAGCGTATAGTTACGCATGCTGCTCGTAGTGCGACGACTGCGTGTTTGCAGTGTGCGCAGGCATACGCCTGTGGCTCGTAAGGGCGCATCGTGCGCGGAGGTTGTTGTGGGGCCCACACAGGCGCGCCCGCGCGCTTCGCGCTATTGTGATGCCCGCAGGCATATAATCTTGCGCTCGCGGGAACGCCGAGGAGGAGGAGGAAGAGGAGGAGGAGGACAGGGGGGGGGGGAGGACGAGGAGGACGAGGAGGGGGAGTTTGGGATGCGACGATGACAGTTGATTTGTAACCGGTATCGATTCCTTGACTTTCTGACCTCAGGACGCCGCTGGGCCCTCCGGGGGCTTGGAACGGAACGATTGGAGTTTCTTTGAATCCGATATCGATTCGTGGACTCTGTGGCCTCCGAGCGCCCTGGGCCTTTTTCGGGGCCTTCCTGGGGCCTGTAAAGGAACGATTCGTAATAATAATAGTAGTAGTAGTAGTTGTAGTAGTAGTAGTAGTAGTCGTAGTCGTAGTCGTAGTAGTAGTAGTAGTAGTAGTAGTAGTAGTAGTAGTAGTAGTAGTAGTAGTAGTAGTAGTAGTAGTAGTAGTAGTAGTAGTTAGTAGTAGTAGTAGTAGTAGTAGTAGTAGTAGTAGTAGTAGTAGTAGTAGTAGTAGTAGTAGTAGTAGTAGTAGTAGTAGTAGTAGTAGTAGTAGTAGTCGTAGTCGTAGTCGTAGTCGTAGTCGTAGTCGTAGTCGTAGTCGTAGTCGTAGTCGTAGTCGTAGTCGTAGTCGTAGTCGTAGTCGTAGTCGTAGTCGTAGTCGTAGTAGTAGTCGTAGTCGTAGTCGTAGTCGTAGTCGTAGTCGTAGTCGTAGTCGTAGTCGTAGTCGTAGTCGTAGTCGTAGTCGTAGTCGTAGTCGTAGTCGTAGTCGTAGTCGTAGTCGTAGTCGTAGTCGTAGTCGTAGTCGTAGTCGTAGTCGTAGTCGTAGTCGTAGTCGTAGTCGTCGTCGTCGTAGTAGTAGTAGTAGTAGTAGTAATAGTAGTCGTAGTAGTAGTAGTAGTAGTAGTAGTAGTAGTAGTAGTAGTAGTAGTAGTAGTAGTAGTAGTAGTAGTAGTAGTAGTAGTAGTAGTAGTAGTAGTCGTAGTCGTAGTAGTAGTAGTAGTAGTAGTAGTAGGTAGTAGTAGTAGTAGTAGTAGTAGTACTAGTACTAGTAGTCTAGTCTAGTTAGTGTGTCTAGTTCGTAGTCCGTAGTCGTAGTGTAGTCGTAGTAGTAGTCGTAGTAGTCGTAGTCGTAGTCGTAGTCGTAGTCGTAGTAGTCGTAGCGTAGTCGTAGTCGTAGTCGTAGTCGTAGTCGTAGTCGTAGTCGTAGTCGTAGTAGTCGTAGTCGTAGTAGTCGTAGTCGTAGTCGTAGTCGTAGTCGTAGTCGTAGTCGTAGTCGTAGTCGTAGTCGTAGTCGTAGTAGTAGTATTAGTAGCAGTAGCAGTAGTACGTCGTAGTAGTAGCAGTAGTGTGGTAGTAGCAGTAGTAGTAGTAGTAGTAGTAGTAGTAGTAGTAGTAGTAGTCGTAGTAGTAGTCGTAGTAGTAGTAGTAGTAGTAGGAGGAGTAGCAGTAGTAGTAGTCGTCGTAGTCGTAGTAGTCGTAGTAGTAGTAGTAGTAGTAGTAGTAGTAGTAGTAGTAGTAGTAGTAGTAGTAGTAGTAGTAGTAGTAGTAGTAGTAGTGGTAGTGGTAGTAGTAGTAGTAGTATGGGATAGTAGTAGTAGTAGTGGTAGTGGTAGGAGTAGTAGTAGTAGTAGTTGTTGTTCCAGTAGTAGTAGTAGTAGTTGTAGTAGTAGTAGTAGTAGTCGTAGTCGTAGTCGTAGTAGTAGCAGTAGCAGTAGTAGTAGTAATAATAGTAGTGGCAGTAGCAGTATTAGCATTAGTAGTAGTAGTAGTAGTAGTAGTAGTAGTCGTAGTAGTAGTAGTAGTAGTAGTAGTAGTAGTAGTAGTGGTAGT